TTGACATCGGCGGCGCTGGCCATGGTTCACAAAAAGTAACCCCAGACTCACTGAAAGAGAGCCACAGATTTGAGGGCTTTTGCTTGGGAAGGCCTCTGGGGAAGGGCATCCGTCCCGTTCTCCCCCCACCCCACCAACACACACACACACACACACACACGCACGCACGCACGCACGCACGCACGCACGCAAACATGCACACACTCTGTGGAGAAGAAAAATACCACTGTGATGAGACGTCTTTAAAGAAAAAATTTGACTAAGGGTCTAACAAACGTTTTGAGCGTCGCTGTTAGAAAATCCTGGGGTGGAGGTGGGGCTTGGAATCGAGAAAACTGGCCAGACTGGGGAGGGGATGTTATAACAAAGTTTCACTGTATTTTTAAATATAGAAGCCCTGTGTTTATTACAAAGAAGGGGCAGCTGTGTCAGCAGCATGTGAGCTGTAAATGAGACAAAAGCGTTATCTTAAATGCGAACTGAAATTAGATAACAGGGTGGGCTGTAATGTTTAGTCTGTTGGGCCTTTGGGAACAAATGAGGAAGGAAAAAGTGGCTCTTGTGAATGGGTTTCTGGTCAGTACCATTACTAAGAGCAGGAGATGAGTTAGTCGGTGCGTTCCCAAACTGTACGTGATAGTTTTAACTGCGCAGTGAGTTTTGAAATAATCTGTTAATGTGGTCTCCATGATTAAGGATGAATTCCTTTCATATTGTAAATAAATTTCCACAACTAAAAATATGTCAAGTCATCTTCATTAAGTCAAATATTTGAATGTTTCTGCTCGTCCAAGCCCCATCAGATGCTTTTGAAAGTTAACTGATGTTCATGTTCTTCGGGTTAGGAGGTTGGGGATAGAATATTGAGTGGAACCATATTTTGGCCCGTGTGATTAGCTGTATGAGCTTGTGTAGATCTTTCACCTCTGTGCTCTGGGTTTAGAGCCATAAATTCTTGATAATTCATATCACTCACAGACTTAAGAGTTGCAAGAATTGTTGAGCAATTCTTGTATAGGTAATAAAAGTGGAAAAGTTTCATTTAAATGAAGAATGGGATTGTGTCATGTTTCATGTTCAAAAACCATTTACTAAAGAATTAGGCCCCAATTTGGAAGGAAGGAAAGACCCCTCTGCTTTGTTTCCAGAGAGAGCTTCTCTCCTGACCTTGCTTTTTGTATTGACTTGGTATACTGTACCAAATGTGCTCAAATGGATGTAATTTTCCGCTGACACCTGGTATAATTGCAAATAGCTTTATATATCCTTGAGGATATACTGAGAGAACTAGTTGGTGACAATATCTCTGTCCACAACGCAGACTTATATAGGAATTGGATAGGGCAGTATCTGAATTGCAGAATTACTGCAGGAGCACAGAGGTGAGAAATCAGTTCTACTCAGGAAAGAGAACTAGGAGGGAAGTATTTGCCCTGGTCCTTGACGATCAGGTTGGATTTCTCCTAGTGGAGAATGTGTATCATAAAGCTGAGGTGGGGGGAATGAGTATGAGGCTGGCAAGTAGTCTGGTTCAGCAGGAGCACCCTGCCTGGAAGGAGACCGTGGGGATCAAGTTGGGACCGTAGAAGGGAATTTCAACTTGATAAATTTTGACTAGGTGACAAGTTGTTTTCTCAAGGGAGTTTTATGTCACTAGAGTTTTAAAAATACTTTTTGGGGAAAAAAACAAATACAATATAATATGTGAAAACTTTCTTGTTTTTGAGTCAAACAGTACAGAAACATGTAGAATATTTTTTATACCTGGTAAGTTTTATGTTTAGCAGTTGGGTATTAATTTTTAATTAATAGAATGGAGAAAATCAATTAGAAGTAAATGTAAAAGAATGAAATCTAGATTTAAGTTATGAGAATGACCTGCAACTATACTTACTGAAAATGACCTTAATATTCTAAAACAGAGCTGCTACTTACTGTCAGTGAGGCATACACTTTAAATTGGTTAAGACTAGGTGATAAATTTGTAAGGATTCATTCATATACTTATGCCTTGTTACCAAAACACCATTGGTTTTCATGTTTTACGTGTTCTCTCTTGGGCCACAAAAAAATCAAATGGTGTGAATTTTCCCAAATGCTCTCACTCTTATTTTGATGGAGGTTTATGTATGCTAAGCATGTGCTCTACCACTGAGCTAGACCCACTTCCCTCAAATAGTTGTTTTTTTTCTTTTGAGGTTAATTTTTACTTTTATTTGCCAGCGTAACTTAACTACAGTGGCTTGCAAACTTTTTTGAACTAAAAAATACATTTTACATCACAATCCAACAAACACACACATATATATGTATATAACTGAAACCAAAGTTTTACCCAAAATGTTTACTCTGAGTTTTCTTATTTTTAAGATTTTTTGGGGGAGCAGTTTTAGGTTTACAACAAAATTGATAGAAGGTACAGAAATTTCCCGTATACCCTCTCTCCACATATAAGCATATATGCTGTCTTTTAATTTTTATTTACCAGAATGGTACTTTTTTTTTTCTAAACTAAGGATGAACGTACTTTGACACATCATAGTCACCAAAGTCCACAGTTCACCTTAGTTTGGACAAAAGTATAATGTCACAGATAACCATCGTCATGATGTCATACAAAGTATTTTCAGTGCTCTAAAAAACTTCTCTTTTCCGGAATGACGTTTGGAATCTTTTTCTTTTTTCCTTTTAAAAGAGGTTGAAAGCCTTCACGTCTGTGAGACCACTTATGGCCCACCCATGCATGGACCAGACAGTCTCTAGGTGGCAAATTCCACCACTAAATACTGCGGCTTTTCTTCCAATATTGAGCCCTGTCCCACTGGTCCTGCCCAGCAGCGTTGTGAAGGTGCAGGAGGACCTGTCAGATAGTCTCTTTAATATTTGCTGCTGTTAGATGCAATCAGAAGATACACGACAGTTCAGTAAATGTTTACATGGATGAACATTTGTATTTCAAGAAATGTAAGGATTAAAAAATGATGCCATTTAAAAATCCAGAGACCTTACCATGGTCTGTAAGGCCCAACATTGTCTGGCCTCCCCAGACTGGCTTACATCCTAAGTGTCATCTCCTGTCTCCTCTGCCTCTTCATCGTGCTTTAGCCACACTGACTTCTTCCTTTTTGTTTCTTGAACATGCCAAACTTGTTCTTTTCTCAGTTTTACATCTTGCTGTTTCCACCACCTAGAGTATTCCCCCTCTAGCTCGGCACATCTCACTCAGGTCAATGTTACCTTCCCAGAGAGCCTTTTCTGACTACTCTAACTAGAGACTCCCTTTTCTTCCGATTACTTTCTGGGCATCTTAATGCTGTTTTATTTTATCCTTTTTCTTAGTATCTGAAATTAACATGTATATTTGTTCCTGTTTATTTCTTGTCTTGTTCCACTAGAATGTAAATTCTGTGAGGGTAAGGGTATTGTATGGTGAGGTCATTCTTGTTCTGTAAGATTCAAACAATAGTGGAAAAGTTGG